GCTAGTTTCATACTAATGATCCCTACAGGCAAGATGGCATTCTATCCATTAAACTTCAGCAGCACTTAAATTATAAACATTCTAGAACTTAATTTGACTGAGTAGATTTCCAAGGTATGGAGAAAAATTATACTTTAAAAGTAAATTCTGGGGGCTGGAGAGATAGCTCGTGATTAAGAGCACTGGCTATTCTTTCAAATCCCAGCACCCACATGGCAGCTAACAACTGTCCTAACTCCAGTCCCAGGGGATCCGACAGCCTCTTCTGACCTCTGCAGGTGTTGTATGACACAGGTACACTTACCTACACACAGGCAATACACACATACACATAAAAATAATAAATAAAATATTTTAAAAAATAAAAATAATACATATTGAAAATAAATAAATAAATTTCAGGGTTGGAGGTATAGCTAATGAAAGCGGATACTACATGGGAGGTTCTGGGTTCCAACCTGCGTACCATTGAAAAATATTTAGGCTGTTGAGATGGCTCAGCAAGTAAAGGCACCTGCTACCAACCTAACAACCTGAGTTTGAGTCCCAGAAATCACATGGTGGAAGGAGAGAATTGACTCCTGCAAGTTTTCTTCCAACTTATACACACACACACACACACACACACACACACACACACACAAATAAAATAATAAATGTAATAATTTTTTATTTTCAAAGTACTATAGAGATAGAGGTAGATAAATATTTGCTGAAGAAAGCCAGTGATCCCAAGCATACATAAAAGTTTCACCAGATCTAAAAATGCTCTTATCTGATGTGTTTCACTAAAAAAAGATAACAATTAAAACAGAGGCATCCACAGTCATAAGCCCCTTGATGTCAAATCATTGGAATATAAACTGTGCATTACAATGTATGAAACACAGGTCCATTCTCCCGAGTTTTTCACATCCAATTTCAGAAGCAAGTTTTTGTAAAAGCTCCAGAATAAATAATAACTTCTGAAATAACTTCTGAATCAGAAGTCAAGAGCCCAAGACCTGGCACAAGTTAGATCTTAATCTAAAACTCTAAAATTTGAAATGTTCCAAAATCCAAAACTCATCAGTTTCAAATTTTAGAGCATTTTGGAGTTTAGATTTTTGGACTGGGGATGTTCAGTCAGTAATATCTATGCAAATATTCCAAGATTGAGAAAATCTATTTATTCAAATACTTAAAAATAAAAAATACAAACTCTGAACTCTCAGGCACTTGGAATAAGTGATGCTCAGTCTATACCAGTTTGATATTTAAGTACAATACAACCTTCAGAAGTTACTTCTTTGAGCTATACTACTCGTCTTACAATATGAACTATTTCCTTGAGCTATAAGACTATGTAAAGACAAAAGTGTTTTCAGAAATCAATGTCATTGTACAATGTCAAGTGCTCTTTCTCTATACCCATCTAGAAGTAGATACCAGGCTCAGATGTGGCTCAGTGGTAGAGTGCTTGAGTAGCATACGTGAGACCCTGGGATTGGTCCCCAGCCTGAGAAGGAGGGAGCGGAGGGACAGACACATAGACAGAAAGAGTCATCCACAGACACAGAGATAGAAACTGAGAGACAGAGAGGTCCCTGCTAGATATTGATCTCCCTAAATAGCTTCTGGATACTCTGAGTCCAACATGGAATGCACTCAATGTTGGGTGTTATGAGGGCCTCATCAATGTGATTCCCATTACCAGGGTTCTATGTCTAGAAAACAGGCTGAACCTTGTAATTTATCTGAAGCACGACTTCATGCTGCCAATAGCCACTGCCTGCCATCTGACAGCAGCACGTCTAATGAAGTGTCTACACATTATGCTTCCCTGAGCCTTCTGCATCATTTGTCACAGGCTCCACAGAGATCCTAAATGAGGAAACAACACTTAATCCCTCAGCATCACCCTGGGTTACAACCTTTAGTTCTGGAGGTAGAATAAAGAACTTCAGTGCAGCTCCTTCAACGAGTACCAGTTCCCCATCTATTAGAAACACACTGAGTAACACCAAAGAAGAGTTTAAATATGAACACAAGATAAAACGCACACAAAGAGAACTTCCAGGATAAAGGTAATGACCTTAAAAGTGGAGTGGTCTCAAGGAGTATTCTCCAAGAAAGACCAATTCAAGACATAACTCATGGACATGACGGCACCAACACTACATGTTTTGCTATGCCTTCCTGGAAAAAGTACAAAAGGATAAAACTGTCAGTGAAAATCGTTTGGATGGGGATCAATTATTTCAGAGGAGCCTCGCCACCTGCAACCCACAGTTTCTAAATAAAACTCCCGTCTGTGTGTTATGGGTTGATTTGTTCAGACCTTGCTTTCCTCATTTGTTCCAAACTGAGCTGGACCCTGAAGGACTCAGGTATAACCAAGGGAGAAGAGGATGGAACTGATGACAAGTGCACAGTCAGACTGCCTCAGCACACAATAATGAAGCACTGAAGGAAGGTAGGCTTGGGTCTAGGGAGGAGCCAAAGTCATTAGCCCAGCAGAAACACCCAAGACATGGAAAGATAGGAAGGTTATCACCACGGCACCATCTCCACTTGAGGGTTAGCCACATTCTTCCTATCACTGTAAGAGAGCAGAAAGCATTCTGCCTCAATTTGAAGTATTTCAGGGCAGCAATTTGGTATGGCCTCCAGGCCCAACAAGGACCCTAAGTTACAGCAGGGAAAACCCTGTTTATGACCAAACTTATGTGGGAAATGACACTTGAAGGACCAATCTATATACATAGATGGAAAGACAAGTGCACACAATATATGTTCCTTCAGGTATAAAGAATGTTACTGGCACATTCAGAGGGCTAGAGACTTGAGGTTCATTTTTTAGTAGCAGCGAAGGATCTATAGTGAAATATCACACTCTTGTCCAAAATCATACTCTGGAGAGACAGTCAGCACAATCCATGCACTAAGTCCACTGAGGATATCTCAGAAACTCTATGAAAACTCTAATCATGGTCTTGTGACCCTAACTTCAGTCGCTTGGTAGCCTAACTTGCAATTAGTTAGCAATTACCTTTGATCTTAAAAACGATTAAGTAACATTTGTCTATTTTTTTTTTCTGTCCTTTTAGAGACAGGGTCTCCTTGTAGCCCCAGCTGTCCTGGAACTCACTATGTAGACCAGGCTGGCCTCGAACTCACAAAGATCCGCCTGCCTGTGCCTCCCAAGTGCTGGGATTAAAGGTGTGTGCCACCACGCCCGGCTGCATTTGTCTATTTTTTAAATAAAAACCACCCTAGAGGGAAGGTACTGCCTGTAAATGCCGTTATCTGAGAGACAGGGCTGACTCAAAAGAGGTCATGAAGAAAAGGATGCCATTGGATGAGGGTGACAGTAGTCTAGGGGAATTGCTGTGAGGAGAACCAGTCCTTTGGCTTCTGAGTTCTAGTACACTTTCTTCTAGGGTGAGCTAAGGACAGCCACGAAGACACAAGCTGCATAATTGAATTTTTTCAGTGCTAGACAGAACCTAGGGATTTGTGAGTACCAGGCACTCTACCACAGAGCTACATCTCCAACCCACAGTTTTATAATTCTCCACATTCATTTTTCTACATAAAGTGCCAGGTCTCATGATATCACAGTAGTGACTAAATTATCTGAAATAACGATAGTTAGATTTTTTTTTTTTTAAGTAGTAGCAGCTTCAGCTCCTTTTTTTTTTTTTTGAGACTGAGTCTCTCTGTAGCCCCAGCTGGCCTGGAACTCACACGAGATCTGCTTGCCTCAGCCTCCCAAATGCTGGGATTAAAGATGTGCACCATCTTCAACTCCTTTTAAAGCCTAGAATTCAGTTTGTTTTATCCATTTTTATTAACTTTTTGTAGTAAGTACAGAAATGATGGATTTATGACATTTACATGCATACATACATACATACATACATACATACATACCATTGTACTTTGCTCAGACTCACCCCATCACCCTGCCTTGGTCTCCCCTCCCATAGGTCCCCTTCTTCTCTCCAAACAGTCCACCTTCTGCTTTCATGCCACATATGTGTCTATATATTCATATTTACGTCTAGATTCCTTGTATTTTTCTTTGTTCCCCTTTATTATCCCTCCTTGTTTCCCCTTCCTTTAGACTCCTTCCTCCCCTCATGGGCCCCTTTTTACTTTCATATCATATATCTGATATATATATGTATACATATATATATAGAAAACATGATATTTATCTTTCTATGTTTGGCTTATTTTGCTTAATAGGACAGTACTCTCCACTTCCATCCATTTTCCTGCAAATGACATCATTTCTTTACAACTGAATAAGACTATTGTGTATCTAACATCTATGCTTATCCATTTATCTGCCAATGGGCATCTAGGCTGGATCCATATCCCAGCTCTTGTCAACAGAGCATCAGCAAACATGATGTGCAGATGTCTCTGTGGAATGCTGACTTATACTCCAGGTGTACACCCAGGAGTGATATATCTGGATCACACTGAAGTTCTACAAAATGTGCCTCATTAACAGTCATTCTGACTTCAAATTCTTTTCCTTCATCTTGCTCAAGATTGCCACGTGAGATGGAGAAAGTAAAAATACAAGGCTCTCAGAAAAACCAATTAAGTAGTAAAATCATTAAAGCTGGTTGCAATTATTAAAAGTAGTAATGAATATTTAAACCTACTGAAAATATGCTCTGTCAAAGAAAGCTAGGGGAAGAAAAAAACCTATTTTTGTTGATTTTTGACTTCTATTTTTCATTTTTTCAGGAAGCTAAAGTGATTTTAACATTTTTAACAAGCAGATAATACTCCCAAGAACAACTCATTGGATTTGGGTAAACTTTCTGTGGTTCTAGGAAAAAAAGAAGTTTATAAACTGTCAACACATTTGAAGAACACAATAAAATTTCAAAACAGAAAGTAGCATCAGGAATTTTTTGTTGTTGTTTTTAAGACAGGGTCTCTCTGTAGCCCCAGCTGTCCTAGAACCCACTCTGTAGTCCAGGCTGAAAGTTGATTACCTATATTAATTGCAGTTTCTTGCTTGTCGCCTGTCAATACCCATATTTTAATTTCTGCCTTCAACAGAGTTGCTATGGTTTCTGGAACCCCGGCTTGAAGGCGATCTTCGATGGCTGTAGCTCCAAGTAACAGTAAATCCTAGGTCAGAAAACACTTTCAATTAAAGAGTAGTTCACACTTAAGAGCAACATGGCTAATAGCTCTGACAAAGGCAAGTGAAATGTTCTGAATCAGTTACCAATTAATGATAAACAAGATGTGAGGTATCCACAAACCATTGGCCACATTAGACTACTCTAGACACACTCATCATCATTTCCTGGTACTTGGGCATGATAGCATAGACACAGCCTACCAGCAGTGCATGTGAGTGAGTTAGCCTGGTATTAACAGCCCATGAATGAGGAAGGCATCGTAATAGATCTAATGTATGCAAAGAATTGATTCCCGATGCTACACTTACCTAGCAGGATAGGAATTAGAGACTTGTGATATTAAGATTTCAATAGCTAGGGGGTAGGGGTATAGCACAGTGGTAGAGCAGGAGGCCCCAGGTTCTTGCCCAGAACCATGTAACAGTGAGTGGAGGAAACACCACAGCATCTCAAGATCAGGGAGCCATAGATTTCTGTCCTATGCAAAGCAGAGGACAGTCAGCTCATGCAGAGGACAAGTGTCAATGTGTCAAACTCCCTACATGCCTGGGCTCTTGCCTGTTGGTCTGGCAAGTTCCAGAGGGCCTTCCTATTTACCCATCTCCCCTTAGTCTACAACACAGAACCCAAGCTTGCCATCCAACTAAAGAAATATCCAGCTACCCTGTGATTATTCACCACATGGTATGGCACCCATTTGGTCACATTTTTCTGACTATAAACATAATTTTGAGTATCTTCAGTGATGTTTGGTCAGAATTTATCTTTGTACTTGGGTAATAAAATCTGGCCCAAAATGGACAGCACACATAGCTTGATATGCAAACACCTACATTGAGTCCATCCTAATAACCGAGCAACTGAGTCTTAGCCAATCATAGGAACAGACCCTTTAGCCAACCAGGGACTGAAGCATGGCCATATAAGGTAATGTTGACAGCAGTTCATCAGTTGTTTGTATACGTCACTTCCTTTCATCTGGTAATACACAGTTACACACGGGAAACATTCTAGGAATTGTTTTCTATCAGTGGTGCCGCCTTGACTAGAACATTGCCTTGTTCAAGTTAACTGATAAAGTCAACTCATTCCAATCTTTTTTTGTCCGTAACACCAATGGTATGCTTAGATTCAGTTCTACCCCTCCCCCAATTCCATTAAATAACTGGATATAAACAACTGAATATAAAACTCAAGAAAAGACTAGATATGGAAAAGTGGAATTTCTTTTTCAATGTATTTTTTATTGAACTTTTGTGGATTTCATATGTAAAATGGAATTCAAAAGGCAGCAATGGAGTAAACAAGCAGGCAATGGCTTCAAAATGGACAGTCCAGAGCTTGCTGACACCATCAGAAAAGGTTGAAAACTAGCTTCCAGATTTGAGGACACTGAAATAAGTACAAAATCACCTAATACGCTGGAATATCCTGAAAAGAACAGCATCCAAACAGAAATCAAAGTAGGCAATGCGGAACAGCAATGGCAAATCATTTGAATAAGTAAGTGTGAAAATTCCTAGCAGTTACACTGTCTACTCATGTGAGCACTCTACTCAACAACTGAGTCAATCATATTACAGCTACTCTCAGTCAAAGCTGGAATCTTCAATGCTAGTCAGTATGGGTGTGCGTATGTGCATGTGTGTGTGCATGTGTGCGTGTGTGTATGTGTGTGCGTGTGTGTATATGTATGTGTGTGTATGTGCGTGTGCATGCGTGTGTGTGTGTGCATGCGTGTGTGTATGTGTGTGTGTGTGTGTGTGTACAGGACAAAGGACAACCTTAAGTGTTGGTCCTCAGGCACCATTCTCCCTCATTTTTTTTGAGACAGGGTATCTTGATGACCTGGAACTCACCAAGTAGGTTAAGATGGCTAACCAGTGAGCCCCAAGGCCCACCTGCCTCCACCTCCCCGGCTCTGAGACACAAGCATGAGACACCATGCCTGACTTTCTTTTAAACATGGGTTCAGGTTATCAGACTCTGGTCCAAAAGGCAAGCACTTTAATGGACTGAGTCAGCTCCTCAGCCCATTAGAGCTAGTTTTGACCAGGTATTTAAGGGATTGTTAACACCTGAGAATAGCTAGAGCTTTTAGACAGCCCAGGAAACCTGAATGTGTCTCAAGGCAAAGAAGTGGAAAAAGCTCAGGGTTCCTGAAGACACCAGAAAAATGACAGCACCACCAGCTAACAATGGGCTCCTGCGCAGACTGCTCAGTAGGTGACATCCTTCACATAGACTACTCAATGTGTGTGGCTACCTTCTCAATGATCTCGTAACACTCTTCCAGTCGATGAGCTCTGTCTTTCATTAAGATGCTGGCCTCCTCATAGACCTTCAGCCACTCCTCATACTGCGTCTCAGAGAGATCAGCATAGGCCACACAGAGAGTTCGCAAGCCTGCAAGACAGCCGCTGGTGAGCCAATGCAAGCCAGATAGGTCACCTCCTAGGGGACTTTTCGTATCAGCATGCTCAAAGAAATTAAAGAAGCCACCTGCTTTTTAGGACACTAATTTAACATTCACAAGTCTACAAAGGGAAATTTAAAAATAACTCCACCATGATGGTTAATACTATCAACTTGACAGGATCTACAGTCACCTAGGAAACAAACCTCTAGGTGTGTCTGTGAGAGTTTCTATATTCAGGCAGGAAGGACCACCCTAACTACGAGCGGCACTGTTCCCATGGGCTCAGGCCCTGTGTCTCACACGGAATAGGAAAGAGGGCTGAGCACCAGCTTTCAGCTCTCTCTGCTTCCTGACTGTGAACACAGTGTGACTAGCTTCCTCAGCTCCCATAACCAAGACTCCCCACCACGATTCCCAGCCATGATGTCCCACTGTACCCTCAAACGGTGAGCCAAAAATAAGCCCCTTTTTTTCCTTATTTTTTCTAGGTATTTTGTTGGAGCAATGAGAAGAGTAACCAATTTGCCTCCTGTGTCCTAATATAAACTGTCATTTCTATAAATTTAGGTGTGATGAGATTCATGATTGGATTTCTCCTGTAGAGGGGTACAGGATCTGTGTGTGATTCACATATATGTATTCAGTAGGCAGGTGGTAGGTAGAGGAGTCAGGAAGCATTTCAAGATAGTAATAAAAAGCCCAGTGGGGTGTTATCATGTAGAAGAGCTGGGCTCTCAAGCAGCCACACTTGTATGTGCATACACATTCCTATGTACAAACGAGTCTGGATGCAGAGCACACTATAGTCAGAGAGAAGCAGTCAGCACATAAGCATGGTCCCATCTCTCATCACATTCACTAGCAAGAAAATATGACATCATTATCCAAAAGCTTCCAGAGAGTTCCTTTCCTGCTCACTGTGAGCAAGGTGAATCTGCTTAAGTCCTGGATAAGCCAGCAAGAGAGGGACAGGGAAATGATCCTGTTCCAGGAAAGGGACTAACACTGCGGTCAACTGCCTTCTTCTGTTTTGACTGAGTGTGGACTTTGCCTCTTACTTCCTCATTGACACAGGAGATGGAGGGGATAGAGGAAGGAACTGAAGAATTCACCTCTGAGAAGCAAGTCAGTCCTACTGGGAAGGATACATCCATTCAGAGACACACCTGCCTGCTGGTACAACAGCTACAGGAACGTGAAAGTACAGCTTCAGGGTCAAAACCACACCTCCAAATTTCACTTACCTTCTGTAGCAAAATATTCCAGATGGCATAATGTTTCATCCATGTACTTCGAGTCTTTTGAAAGTCTTTCAAAGATGACATTATCCTATAAAAAGAGGAAGCATTCACTGTGACTGGCAAACCCCAGAGTAAATCTTCCAGTTGGTACACCAAACACAGCTTTGTTTTCTAAGTGTTTACTTAATGGACACGAAAAGACTTGACTGGGCAAGGAAGAAAGCAGTTCTTGGCTGGGCTCAGGCACAAGCTTTGGAACACAAATTGGGTACGGATGTGCCCAAGAGAACCAAAATCTGTTAAGAATCTTAAAAGTCAAACAAAAACAATACTGGGGAAGATTCTGGGAGCAGAAAAATAATCAAGACCACTATAGTGCCCACATTTGCCCATATCTGCAAAACTATGACCTCAACCATACATAGGCTGAGTACCTCTTATTTTAATGCTTGGAATCAAGAATGTTTCAGATTTGGGATCTTTTCCAGATTTTAGAAAACATGCCTATATATACACATATATATTCAGATTTGGAATACAGCATATATATATATATGTATATGTATATATATATATACACACATATATGATGCTATATCTCAAGGATAGAAGCTAAGTCTAAATATTTATGTTTCATACATACCTTTACATACAACATGAAAGTAATTTTATAAACATTTTAACCACACCTACATTTAGACTGGAACTCATGATATGAGGTTAGATGTGGAATTTTCTATAAGTCAGTGCTTAAAAAGTTTTGGATTTGAGGTTGTTGGGTTTTTTTAAAACTGTATTACACTTATTTATTTGTGTGTGCACATGTGTGTGTTTGTGTGTGTGTATGTGTGTGTGTGTGTGCCCCACCACAGTGTGACTGTGGTGGTCAGAGGACATCCTGCAGGAGTACGTTCTCTCCTTCCACCACACAGGTCTCAGGAATTGAACTCACATTGTCAGACTGGGCAGCAAGTGCCCCTACCTGCTGAGCTATCTCACCAGGCTAGATTTGAGGATTTTTGTTCATTTGTTTTTGTTTTTGTTTTGTTTTGTTTTATTTTGGTCTTTATTGAGAATTTCATGCATGCATATAAGGTGTTTTGATCAAATCCATGCCCACTCCCTCCCCTCCAACATTCCCCCCTCTGAAGAGGTAACCCTAAAATCTTTTAGGGATTAGATAAGCTCCCAAATACTTCTGACATTTTGGAACATAGTATGTTGCCAAGAGGCCCAAGGACATTTTGACTTTTAGCCAAGAAACTGGCTACTTTTCTTTGGGGTCTTTTTACCCTAACTGCTTAGCCAATTCCTACCTCCTATTCTTATCACATCATCCTCTGAAGAGGTTACCCAAATTGCCAATAGGGTATCGGGACTTTCACTATTTAGTCCTGGCTGTTCTGGAACTCACTATATAGACAAGGTACTCTCCAACTCAGAGAACCACCTGCCTCTGTCACCCAAGTGCTGATATTAAAGGCATGGGTCATCATATCTGTGTGATTTGGGATTTTTTTTATTAGGATGCTCAACTTGTAACATCTTTATTAAGAAGTTGAAAGAGAAAAATGCATACACCAAATTACTTAAACACAACCCTGCTTGCTGATAATAGAAGTTCTCCTAAACAGGGTAGGAACAGACCAGGAGTCTTTGGATCCAGCTTTGATAAGAAAGTCTTTGGATCCACGTGGGCCCAGCTTACACCCCATGACTGAGATGCAGAATTGAGTGCATATACATCACAGATAATCTACCATAGAAATTGGTGTCTCAAGACACTGTTTTGTGTTTTTATTTTTTTGTTGTGGTTGCTGCTGCTGATGATGGTGGTACCACTTAAAAAAAAAACTAGCTCGGTTTTGGAGGGAGCAGGTTTGGATGAAATACACTTAGCAGCATTTTCATACCAACACTGTCCTGGTTTCATAGACTGCTGAGGCTTACAACAATAAGCACATAAACAGAGAGCTTAAAAACAATGCCATGTTGGGGCTGGAGAGATGGCTCGGTAGTTAAGAGCACTGGCTGCTCTTGCAGAGGATCCAGGTTCAGTTCCCAGAACCCACATAGCTGCTAATAACCATCTGTGTAACTCCAGTTCCAGGGGATCCAACAACGTCTTCTGACCTCCACAGGCACTGTATGTGTGGTACACTTACACACAAAGCAAGACTCATACACATAAAATAAAATAAAATTTAAAAATTTAAAACAATGCCATGTATGAATACAACCTCTATGGCTTTAACTTAAGCTTCCCTTATCATAAAAACAGATTTCTTTTATTGGTCCAAATTTAATGCCTTTAGAAGTCACATACATTACTCATCTTCAAAAAGCCCTAGTCATAGAGCTTTCCTAACCATAACTGGTAAAAGATTAGTGAGCTCTACAACCAAAGAATCTGACCTTGGTACAGTATCATACTCTTGACATAGTCCCAAAATAAATCTAATAATTAGTTCCTCCATCCCACAAAGCCACCATATAATAGGGTACCATTTTACAAGTAATATCATAAGTAATAATAGCTTTCCTTAGAAATAACATCTTTGGGGTTTAGTTACTATTAGGGCTATAGGAGAAAAAGCCAGAACTAGGAAACTGGCCAAAAGGAGTTGTGAAAATGCAACCACATGTGAACACCACCCTTATACCCACAGCATAGTGCTCTGCTCTGAATAAGAAAATGAAACATAACAGCTGGGAAGAACAGCTGCTGGAGGAGCAAGATCAGAACACTAAAAGATGACCACGAGTCATCATGAATGCCTTCTCCTTTTAGAGACACAAGACAATGGTGGTAAAACTGGAACTGGAATTCACTCGCAGCACTTTGCATAGCACATTAAGTTACTGTTTCCAAAACCCACCATTGACTCAAGGCAGGCTTTCCACTGCCCATTCTTAACCAATTCTGCCTTGAACCAACAGACTTCAGGGGCCTTTTAGGACTACGTCAGCTTTACAGTCGGCCTGAAAGAATTTTTCAACTTTGGGTTGATAAGAGGGATAATGTGACTAGCAGTTTGGAAAGCCGTGTATTAGGCAAAGCACCTTCAAAAACTCTGCCAAGTGAGACACATCACTGATACTTACAGCTCCCTTGCAGTAGAGTCGAAGTTGTCCTGATGGAGTTCGGACAATTACAGACATTCTTTTTCTGTCACTGTAAGAGTTTAAAAAAAAAAAGTTGTCACTCGTCTGCTTTAGCGGACCCACTGTCTAATAACTGACCACCAGTCACAATAGAAGGCAGCCATCTTAGAGATGGCCAAAGTCCATTTCTCCATAGCTTTTTCCTCAAAGTAGAGCTTACATTGTATGCCTCACTCTTCATTTATAGCAAATGGACATAAGCCTGTGCCTTGCTCTGCCATGAGAGCTCACTGCACAGTTATTTGCAAAAGAGGTAGAGCTGGAAACTTAGAGCATCAGCTATGTACACTGAACTGACTGCCAGCACTCTCTATGGGTGTTCTCTATTTTTTTTAATTTATTTATTATTTTTATTTTATGTGTATGAGTGTAATGCCTGCATGTAGGTAAGTGCACCTGTGTCATGCAATGCCTGCGGAGGACAGAAGAGGCTGTCAGATTCCCTGGAAATGGAGTTACGGACAGTTGTTAGCTGCCATGTGGGTGATGAGATTCGAACCCAGTTCTTCTACAAGAATAGTCAGTGTTCTTAACTGCTGAGCCATCGCTCCAGCCCCAAGGGTGTTCTCTATTTTACAGCTCAAAAACATCAAGTAACACCTCTAGTAAGTAGCAAAGTGGGAGCTTCAACATATTCTAAAAGCTGCTCATTATGTCTTTAAATTGCAGTAGAAGAAAATTCCCAATTCCTACACTCCTCCTCAGCCGGCACCAGCACACTTTCTCTCCTCCACTGCAGCACAGATCCTTTCTTGCACATTAGGTCAGCCCTGCTCTCTGAGCCTCAATGACTCCCACTGCCTGAAGTCCTCTGAACACTGCTCTTCGCCCACCTTTGCAATCTTGACTCACTTCCCAAACTAATCCCCTCATGTATCACCAGCACCAAGCATATAGGATTCACCATTCCCCTTTCCTATATATTCTGGTCTGTGCTGACACTTCATCCTCCAGAAATATACCCTAATAGAGGGCCCCAAACACCACCTCTGCAGCCTTTCCTTGTGAAGATTCTAACTCAACACTATAGAAATACCCCCAGTCCAACCCACAGCATTCTCTTGGATGGGTCTTCATTCTCTCCCACCACCTAGAAGTTGGGTGCTCTTAGCAAAGTCATCCAGGCTGTTTCAGTTTCTCAATATACAATGCAGAGTACCATCAGCTACTCCAAAAAATACTATAGGATGAAGGGGTGTCAGGAAAACGGTGCACCCACTAAAATGAAACAACCTATAACCACAACTGATGTTTCTGCTCTTACTCTCCCACTGCTTTTGAAAAACAGACCCTTCCATCCACATTCCCCAGTTACCACCCTTCTTGTCCAACCATTAACAGCTGGACATAGTTAATGCCCACAAAGCAACAATTTCCAATAAGAAACATTGTAGGAGACTGGAGAGATGGCTCAGTGGGTAAAGTGTTCACTGTACAAGCATGAGGTCCTGAGTTCAGATCCCTGGCACCTATGTAAAAATAGAGCACTGTAGTGTGCATCTGTAACCCCAGAACCTAGAGAGTGAGGATAGGCAGATCCTGGCAGCTCACTGTCCAGCTACTCTAGCTGGGCAGTGCACTCCAGGTTCAGTGAGAAACCCTTTCTTAATAAGGTGGAAAGTGATGACATATGACTATGACTTCAACCTCTGGCTTTCACATATCCATGTACAGAAAATCACACACATGCATAACACACACACACATACACACATACACACAAAGAAGAAGGAGATAAAAAGAGACACACAAATGTCTGGGGAGATATCTAATAGGGCTGGAACATCCACCCAGCAATATTACCCACCCCCACATAAACCACTGCTGTTGTTAACCATTCCCAGCTCTTACTGAATAGCTAACTCAAGGACTTCTCAACCACTAATATCCAAGCTTACAGTCCTAAACTAAGTACTAGGCAGAAACCATTTTCTTCAAGAGGATAGGAAAGTATTGACCTTTTAAAAACAGCTGATAAGCAGGCAGGGAAGCAATTTGTGAATTATTTAACAATGGAGTCTGAAAAATTACCTAATTGGGTTTCGTTTTCTTTTTCTTCAGTCTATAGCACAGACTTTCCTGGAACTCACTATGTACCCCACACTAGTCTCAAATTTGGGACAATCCTCCTGCCTCTGCTTTCCAAGGACTGGAATTATAGGTGTGAGCCACCATACCCACCTCTGTCTAATTTCAGTAAGAGGGAAAATTGCTTTTGAGACAACAACAGAACTTTGCTCTAGTGTTGGATGGCAGCTGTGCTAACCACTACACCACCAATGCCATATCTTTGTTCTAGTATTAACAGTCCAATGTTCAAAAGAGGAGAGAGACAAACATTAAAGATATGGTTCCTTACAATAAACAATGAATGATCCAGGGAACCCAAAGAATTCAGGAAACATTCCTAGGCCTTAAAGAAACTGTGCTGGGTCGGGGGAGGAGAAAATGGTCGTATGTAGACCAAGGCTATTCTTGATGGGAGAAGCTGATCCCATCTGCTGTGGTCACCTGTCAGTTTTTCAGATCTCCTGAGCAGTGCTCAGATGGAGGAGGTCTGACCTCATAGAGCCTGAACTGTGCCAATGAAAACAATGCCCTCACCACATTCTCCAAACCACACAGACATGCCTGCAGCTGCTGATACAACGCCAGCAGCTCTGGAAGGCAAAGAAAAAGGAGCTGAAGAAGTGCAACATCTCCTTCATTAAGAATAGAAAAAATGGCCTACTTTACTCTCTTTAAACGATATCTACAAACTTTCAGATGAGGGTTAGTAGAGTGGTGTTTATCATATTTAATACCTAAAAATAAATCATATCATACAATCAGGCAAATTCATATATTTAAGTATTTCATTTCAAGTGTATGAAAGAGATACATACCTGGAAAATTCTAGTACATTGAGAATTCCAAATGTCTGTTCCTGTCCCATCTGCAGGGAAAAAAAAACAAAAACAGGATCTTCTGTGATGGGCAAAGTATTAAAATCTCAAAGCAGTCACCCCCTCTCCATTACACACACACACACACACACACACACACACACACAGAGCCCCTCCCCTGCTCTAGCCCTCTGTATAGACATTCACAACATGTTCTGGTCTCTCACAGTCTTGTGGGGTCATAGCTCCCTCTTCTGGTAGAACGGTCTCATTTTCCTTTAGGCTCTGGACAGCTGTGTAGCCACACAGCACCACTGGGAACTTTGGGGCCAGCTTTGTTTGTGAATTTAGGGATCCACATATTTCATTAGGTCTATACCAAGACTGTATGACTAAGATCTCCAGCAGGGTCCAAGGAGCTACTCCGTTACAGAGCACATCAACTTTTTGCAGCACAACTTAGGATCATCACACTGAGACAGCATCATAAAAACCACCAACAGATTCATGCCAGATCTGCCGAAGGACTGTCTTCAAACTTGGGGAAAGACTTGGAATTTAAGAATTTGGGGATTTTGAATTTATAGACAAGGTATTAGGGAATCTGTATCTGCTTTTAGGGCAATTAATCAAATGTCCCTTTTCCTTGGGTTCTTTGCAGTTAAGAACGTCAGTGTTCACAAGGACATTGTATGTGTGTACCATGTTCGAACATTTAAATCTGATTTGTAGTGGAAGCAATGCAACCTTCAGCAACCAATACATCTAAGTCTGAATCTAGTTTCTGACACTGCTCTCTGTGCATGGTAAGGGCATTCTCCTCAGGTTTAAGAGATCATCGATGAAGGCACACAAAAATGCCACATCCATGGATAAATAATGCCACCTTCCCACTAGCTCTCTATTCTGGTTACATCCTGAAATACAACGGCCAGCTTCACCTTGCCTTCATCAGTCTTCTTCACCTCATCTACCAGCTTCCCCTTCATGCTCAGCCTGTCCCAGCTCTGTCAGAATGCTGATGCTTCAGGCACCCACTGCCACTACCCTGCTCATGTCAGGAGCCACCTCATGGATGTACCTTATACAATAACCTCACACAGTTCATGTGCTGCTGAGATGGTCACCAAGGACACTGCATGGAAGTAGTGGGTAATTAACGGGGAATTTGTGGTTCAACAACATCCTAAAATGAATGGGAACTTTAAATGATTACTTATGAGATCTAAATAACCGGGCAGCCTGTTTTTACCTTCAGAAATATGGACTTAAAGCTGTGGCAATGAGGGGTGACAGCCTGGCATTGAACACTGTGATGACCACACCACAGGCTCCCTGCTCCCCTGTATCTGGCACTGAACACTGTGATGACCACCCCACAGGCTCTCTGCTCTCCTGTGTATGTTGCATTGAACACTGTTGTGACCACACCATGGGCTCTCGGCTCTCCTGTATATGTGGCATTGAACACTGTCATGACCACACCATGGGTACTCTGCTCCGTGTATCTGACATTGTGAATCAAACAGACGCAGCTGTCACCTCCTCCTCTTCAGCTCATGTTCAGCCATATCCCCACCTCCTGCTTAAGCAGGAACACACATGAACCACCTAGACACCTGGAAAGTCTACACTTAGGGTAAAAAGTGTTCTCACACTGAAGGAGAGAATGACCTTCTTTTTTAAAAGCTACTATGAAGGAAATTCTCTGTTCAATCAGTATTCCGTCTCATTTTTTAATGATTACTCATTTCTCTAAGCTACATTTCCTCTGTTGATTGAAATAAAGTAAAAACAAACACAATTTGATCTCTGTACTCAAAATGAATGTGAAGATGCCAAGAAATGGGAACTTTGAATAAGGTATGATATTTTATATGTTTTGATAGCATGTGAATAAAAGAAAAACTGACTCGACCACAGCCCACTCAGGAACAATGTCAACTTCTATCATTTACAAATGGATTTCTAGTTCATTAAAGAGGCGTAGGTGCTTAAGGGTGCATTAAACTCAACACTATACTAGTCCATGCGTTTTTGACAAATCGAGGGTTGATAAAGGCAGAGGTGAGGAAAATCAGCAACTGGTCTAATTAGCCCAGACCATAGAAAACGCTGACCCTTCAGGTGGTCCACACCAGCACCTTCTAGCCCTAAGCATCATTTTCGCCTGCTGCCCTGCCCTGTCCCCAGATCTCCTGATACAGACTGAGTAGCTACAATCCAAAATGTTTCAAAATTCAAAGACTTTTTAGCACCAGCAAATGTATAACTCTACACTTGACCTCACGTGGCTGATAACAGTCGAAACACGGGAGCGCTGAAAGTATAAAATAACTTGCAGGGTATGTGAGGTATGTGTGAAACATAATATAGGATGTTGGCCCCAGCTTTCAGGACCAAGTCTCATCAGTCTTAAAAAGGAGTTAGACATGAGGTAACAAGAACACTGTGTCTGGGTAACTGTGTCTCAACAATTAAACAGCCTTGGAGGTAGGTTTCCATGACATCAAAACCCAAAGGACTAGGGTACTGTCTCACACATGTGCACCAATAACACTAAAAATCCCAGTATATCATTTACACACCATAGCTTTGACCTCCCCCAACACACTGTTCCAGTTGTGGACTCTTCTAGATGATCATGGGAAGAAATGTCCTAAAAGGGAGATCTAATCTAACATGATTTGGGAGGGAAAAATGGGTTGCCTTACCTCATGAATATGCCACCAACATCATAAATATTCATACAACTTATTTAAAATCCACAGCGCAGACCGTTCTGGGTAACTACCCACTTGGGACATGCCACTCCAAGCTCTTTTTGGAGCGTTCCCTTGGCTTTGCCTTCCTAACAACCCTCTGCTTAAACTGCTATTGTCTTGCAACTGAATTCTGCCCTTCAGGAAGACAAGAGCTGACAGACTCCTGTAACAACTTCAGAGGGAGAACATACTCATACAGATAAGAGAAATCTTACACTCCAACTTCTTTCTCTCATAGCCAAAGAATGGCCTGAGGCCCTACTGTGCAACCATACAAGTGACGAGGCTACAGATATGCAGGACCAGCCTTAGAAGCACTAAGCACTTCTGCTGGACAATAGGAGTAGACTGACTATAAACAATTTCACACCAGTGACTCTGAGGAAGCACTTTAAGAGGAAAACCATTGCAGCACAAAACAACAGGACTAATCTACTACATCCCATGCAACCTTGGTGTTCCACAGAGTGTTTCAAATCTAATTTTTCACTGAAAGACAAATAGAAATTTAGCCATTGTATTTGCAATAGACACACTATCTCAAATACACAATATTCCGAAAAGTAGGTCCCTTACCGCTTCTATGATGACTGAGTACGGCGTTCTGGCTGTAAAGACGAAGCCAAGTTTCTTAGCTCCTTTTACCAAGGCGGCTTCATCTGTCAGTGAAACACAGGTTAATCTCTTGTTATGACAGAATTCTGTAGTGTCATGATTCAAGTTATCTCCACGCCCACACTTGGTTAATGGAGTTTGTATTATTTGCACAGTAGCAAGGGCTCAGGAGAGAAGTGCTTAATCTTACTACCACCAGGATTTGAAATGAGCACTTCTGCTAGACATGGGAGTAGACCAAAAACTAAGTCACCAGGATCGGTGTGATTTGCACTCCTGCCATGCTCTGCCGGGATCAAGTGTTCTCTAATCATCTTAAGGAAAATTCTCACTGACTGAATATTTTTCAGCAAAGCTGTGCTTTGGTTGCAACACTTTGTGATTTAGAGTCCCCTGAAGTGAGCAAAGAGCTCTGCTCTGATGCTCCATGGGGTGTGAAGGATGAACCAGCCAAGAAACCAGCCTGGTTTTCTCTTGAGAGCATTGTCCTGCCCAAGATTTTATGCTGGGAAATGCAAGATAGCCTGAGCGTGTCCCACCACCAAAGTACCATAAATCAAGACAGTCCAGTACCAGCTTTCCTGAGTTTTAACACCTGTAACCATGACCTGGAGATGGTGTGAGGCCAGGGGCAAACAGCAAGTCTCTGTGGGACAAGCTGCACCACAGCATCTTCCAAAAATAACTGCAAACACTCAAGTCTCCAGAAAAGGGGCCAGCAAGGCACACCGAACGACAGCCTCACCTGGGGAGGAAGCCTGATAGATGATGTCATCTCCATCCTTTTCAGGGACCACGGTGTGACACACAGCCAGCAGGGTGAGGAACTCTTGTATACAAGGGGCTGTGGGCTATAAGCAGAAGACCCAGTTAGCCAGTCACCACACTGTTGATACACAGTGGATTCAAGTTATTCCCTGCTTAAGATCCAGTGAGGGCTCTCTACTCTCTTTCGCATGGAGTTCAGACCCTCAGCTGGAGCCTAGGCCACCCTTGAACTGACATTTGCTCTCCATGGAGCCCACCTTCTGTCACTCTGGTCTTTGAACAAGGCACATTCTTTCTCAACATCCCTTCACAGCTGCAGGCCTCCACCTACGTTCACGCTCCTGTATAAGCACTTTTCACCTGACCAGCCCATCGCCCCATATCATCAGGGGAGGGTCAGAGCTGCCAACCCTCTTGCAACTCCCACAGTTCCCAGCCTTGCTCCCATGCTTTTACAGCACACAGGCAGGATCCCCAGGGACAAGTAGGTTAACCGCCTTCCTCCCTGTTATGTCCCCAGGCCCAGTGAATAGAATACCCAGTGTGCATGGAGTCACCAGAGCCCTGCCCTTCCCACCCTGCCATGTTGGTTTGTGTTCTGCATGTCTGATCTTTATTATCTGCACACTAAAAGTCAGGGCATCCCTGTTTAATTCAATTTCCTTATCCTCCTCAAGAAAAATATCCTATGACTTTAACTGGAATCTAAGAACACAATATGCCTTCCTATTCATTAAAGACTTCTCAGTCCTGGCTTATATTATTTATTTGCTCAAACACAGTTGAGTAACTAGTGTACATCAAACATTGTGTTCACTGAGGTTTGGGGCACTGGACATGAGTACTGTGGGACAGCAGGACACACCAATACTGTGTCTGATCTCCTGAGCTTTGGTAACAGCAGAGCCCTAAGGCCAATTAACTAATCAGGCTGGAAGCAAATGACCAGTTAAGTTATAACCTAGTAGTTGGTGGGCTAAGCCAGTGAAGCTGTTTCCTCTGGCCCACCTCTGCTTTTATTTCTTTTACCTTGCTGGGGAGCAAATTCAGGGCCTCCACACAATGCTAGACAAGCACCGTATCACTGTAGATACACATGGGAGCTGGATTCCAGACATGTCTGCCTAAGATCCAGTAAGGGTTCTGTACTCTCTTTTGCACAAAGTTCAAACCCTTCCTGGACACCAGGTCATCCTGGACCTGACACACCTGGTGCTGGAATCTTTCTTTATCCTCTTTCACTTTGTTTTATTTTTCTTTACGCAAATAGACTACTAAATTCTATTGATCTAAAGAAATTTCCTCTTGAAAACCATACAAAGCATTTTATCTACTGCTTTCTATTTTATGAATCTGATTTCCATTATATTTTACAGTGGTTTACTGTCAGGATTTAAGATGGAAATGTTGGTTGGTGGATTTCAGTGGTGGTGGTATTGGGTTTTAATTTCATCTCTAGCTGTAACTGCACTTTTATTTGCCTCTCCAAGATTTTTAAGGCAGCCATTTACATGGCCTGCAGCAGATCCTAGTTTTCCTTTTTCTTCTCACTAGACAAGCTTGCACAGTTCTCCAGCCTGCACCTGCATCACTAGCACTCCAAGGGCAGGGCATCCTCTTCCTGCTAGCTGTGCCTGCTCCTTGGACAAGATGTGGGCCAGCAAGGGGCATAGCCTGCAGAGCCTCTTGGGAGATCACAGCACTGGGGCATTTGTGGGCAGCTCCCTTGAGAGACCAGAGGCAAGTTCCTTGTTGCCAGCTCATGGTGCTGTTCCAGGGACGAAGGAGATAGCACTGGATGGCCTTGGGTCTCCCTAGGTGGGCTCAGGCCCCTACTCTGTTTAGGAGTCTCGCCTCTCAGCTGGTGCTTCTGCCTAGTGGCTGAGGGTCATCAGGATGCCCACCTGCAAAGGGGGCAATGCAGAGGGACCTGGCAGGTGAGATAGGAAGCCAGCAAGGAAGAGGAAGGGGTTTCTCTGTGCCTGTCCAATATGCTCCTAACCTGTACCCCACCTTATTTAAAAAAAAAAAAAAGACAAGGGGTGATAAACTTTGTGCCCTGAGCATATTTCAATGCCAGTGTCTTCCATGCGACCCTTTGAAACAGGTGACTAGACTTGAGATGTAGTAAGGTCTACCTGCCTCCTTGTTTCTTGGAAGGGACTAGGGGTTAGGTTGGGGTTAGGGTTGGGTTGGGGTTTTAGGGTGGTTATAAATGGATGATTGCCACAAAAGAGTTTTTAGTTTCTTCTCTGACCTGTGATTATGACAAGGACAATATTACAGAAGCAAGTGACAGCTATTCCCTCGGCTGCTGCTTATTAGCCCATGTGAAAAGAAAGTGTACCTTAAACTGTACTTGAGGGAAGTCAAATAAGTGAGATTAGAGAATTTACAAATTCTTGAAGGCCCCCTAAATGACAAAGTTTACGTAGAAGTACTTTGAGAACTGGACTTCGGGGCTGCCTTCTGCATGTGAGAACTATCTAGTCCCATGAAACAACATATTGCCTTTGACCTTACAGCAAATAAGTGAACCTAACAGTGACATACTTTCTAAGTCATAAAAAAGACCCACATAGCCATTCTCATTGTTCCTCCTCTACCTTGAATGGTGGACCACACAAAATCCACAAAGACAAAAAGGAAAACAAAATGCCCAGAAAATGTTCATCTACCTACGGTTCTCTATGTACCCTGGCATTCTATAATAAAATATGGGAGCCAAGTGTGGCAGCTCATGCCTTTAAGCCTAGCCACTCAGGAAGCAGAGGCAGGCATATCTCTGCAAGATCAAGGACAGCCTGGTCTATGTAGCAAGTTCCAAGTTAGCTGGGGCTACAGGGAGACCTTGTCTCAAAAAATCTAAATAAATAAATAAACAATTAATGGAAAAAAGAGAGAAAATTTATCTAAATCCCACAGACGTTTGTAATACATTTTTGACAAATGGTACATGTTTTAAAAAATTAACATTTTTTTCTGTAACTTCCAAGAAGAAAATCTTTTTTCTTCAAAGCTGAAAATTTTTCATAACTTTGAAGAATTAGTTGTTTATTGAAGAATTTATGTATGTATGTATGTATGTATGTATATGTATACTTTCCTAGAGGCTGAGGTATTTTCACGATAGTAAAATAAACATATAACACTAGCACTTTTACCATTATAAGTGTACCAATTCAGTGCCATTAAGTACATTCATAATGGTAACTCTACCACTAAACTCTGTACTAGAGCTTCTGAATCACCCCCAAAAGAAAGTGTGTGCCCATTAAGTCACTCTTCCCCATTCTCTGTCCCCCTTACTTCTTCGTGATCACTCTCCTGTTTTCTGTTTCTATGACTGTCTGCAATCTGTGCTTCATATAAATGAAGTCATACAATGTTTGTCATTTGGGCCACTGTACTTTTAATAGCTCCAAAATACTGTGTAACTAGAAGTGGATACTTTCTGTTTGATGCACTTAAAATTGTTTTATACACCAAGAATATTAAGAAACATACAAGTGATTTTTTTTTCTTGAGAATGCAAGCTCATAAGTCTGAGGCACAATGATGCAAAAGAAATCATAGAATGGGGAACGTATCACACAGATTCAGAGTTGCTGGTAAGCAACGCAATCAACGATTTTAAGAATTGTCCTTTGACATATCCTTAGGTTAACCCTGCCTAAAAGCCAAATCCAGTCCTGGCCATCAACCCACACTCTGAATGACCCAGAGACCCAGAAATGGTGACTCAGAAAAGTGAAAGTTCTAAAGCAAACAGAAGTCTTCCCTTGAGAGAAATGTTTTCTTGGTCAAATGCTTTAAATTCAGTCAATGACATGATCATAGCTGAAATCCTCAAATTCTTCCTTCTTCCCAGCTACATACATACATAAATGATTAAGTGTTCTAAGAGGCCCTGTATTTAAACTGCTGAAAATAGTATATTTTAGCACAAACTACATCTTACCAAAGAAAAATGGTGTTCTTTATTATTTACAGGGAAAGTAGATATTAAATGTCAAAGGGCTTCATTAATCCAACAGCCCCCAGATAAAGATCTCAGAAAGATTCAAGGATCCAAGAAATCATAAAAATATCCTATATAGCCAGGCGTGGTGGCATACACCTTTAATCCCAGCAATCAGGAGGCAGAGGCAGGAGGATCTCTGGGAGTTCAAGGCAGCCTGGTCTACACAGTGAGTTCCAGGTCAGCTGGGGCTACATGGAGACCCTGTCTCAAAAAGGCAAAAAAAAAAAAAAAATTCCACATAGGGAAACAGGATTTTGCTGAAAACTAGCAAATAAATTCCCAGATCAATGGCCTTGATACACGTGTTCTGAACTGTGAGTATACACATGTTCAGTACTGTGAGTACTGAAATACCCTCAAAGTCTCAGACTGGATTTAAGTCCCTCCCCAGGAGGAAACTCATGCCTGACACTGCAGATCTGGCCAGGAACCCATGCTTGGGAGCTCATAAACTCAAGGGAAGAACCTGCTTCTATTATTTTGCTAAATTGACACAATACTAAGCTACTTTTAAAAATATTTATCCCTGTATCCATATATTAAACCAGCTCTCAGTTCTCATTAGAGAACCTTCTATTGTGGTGGACAGTGGTTAATTCAGACTGAGAACTAGTCAAAGTACAGAGTCTGTGGAGTGCTCAGCCATAAATGGGACATCTTATTCACACTACCACCCCCCCATCCCCCATTGCTGGGATTACACATGTTACCATGCTTAGTCTGCAGAAAGATTCTAAGAGCCGGAGGTTGGGGAATACTGCCTGCAAACAGTGTCTTCTGGACTCAAGGGCAGTTACACTCACAACTCACAACAGCTGTGGTTGCCTGCATGTGCTCTGCACAAGTTCAAGCAGGTTAGCATTCCAACATGAATAGGGCTTGCCCTAGCTGTGGTGCTATTGAAACTTGGTGGCTGCTGGGGATGTGAGAGTTAGTTTCCTTTAAGGATGTGGCCCCTGGTAGAGTGACCATGCTCCGGTGGGTGGACCCATACCCAAGAATATGTGTGCATCACAAATTGGACTTGATGGGTTACTATTTTTTTTTAAAGGCACAAAGTTGGGAGAGGTGAGAAGGTGAGGGTGGATCTGGGAGGAGTTGGGGGAGGAGTGGGGAGTGAATATGATCAAAATACATTATATGAAATTCTGAAAGAAGTAATACAATATATTCTAAAAATACCTGAGATAACCCTTAAGTTGCTTTTGTCAGATATTTTGTCACAGCAATGAGTCAAGCAGCTAATATACCTATGTAATAGGATTCTTTTGAATGTCTTTTTTATTTCTTCCCCTAATGCCCAGAGCAAGGTGTTTATTATAAAAGAGACTTTAAAAAGGAACAAAGCCTTTTATTGAAATGGGGATCCAGTGGTATGCTTCTGTTCCTAGCCCTGAATTCCACAGTACCGTGCCCTGTGCTCTTCCTGGTCTTGCCTACTTCATCTGTTGACTGGTGCTGGGAAACAAATCTGTGAAGCTTGACCAAGAGCAGACTCCTCGACTTGTCTATGTCAACCCCGATAGTCCTCTTCTGACTGTTCATCAGCTCACCAGCTTCCTATCAGCCTCCACTTGAATACCTGTTTCCTCTTTCAAAATGTGTGTCCACACAGTGCCCTAGTTTCTTTAGTATCTTTGATGAAAACCATATTCCTCCAGAAAAGGCTTTTCTGCTTGGAGAACCTTTGGCCTAGTGGATGGATCTACCCCTAAGGCCAAAATGCAAGATGAGGCCTCTTCAATACTTGTGATTGTGGTAGTACATAGAAGTCTACTGAGTCCTCCATGGGGTCTGGGACATGCCCTCACTTCACCCCAGTGCTGGGTCAGAATAAACAACATGGCAGCTCCTGGACATGCTTGGCTGCTTAGGATCATTAGTCAAAGTATTAACAAGCCAGCTCTGACTGTTATGGAGGAAAGATTTTCTCGTTGTCAAACAAATAAGGAAAAAGGTTTACTTATTTGTTTAAATGTCTTGCAGTTCTGGAACTCAAACCCTAAGCCTTACAGATGCTAGGCAAAAGATCTACTAGTAAGCTACACACCGAACCCATAAAAGTTTTAGATGTATCTATCGCTCAACAAATATTGGAAAGATACACTTTACATTTTGTTCAAGTGTACTTATCTTTAAATTTAGATTTCCCTCACAGTGCCAGTCACGGGTTATGAGTTACTAGTCAAGAAGGGCCCCAGAGATCTCCAAAACAAACACAAGTTATAGTCACTGCCCTTGTTTACCCACCATTAACCACATGGCAAGACCTTATTGCTGAAGGCACCATACACATACTAGGGCATACACATAGCACAAGAAGGTGCTATAGAGGCTGCTGAGGGAGAAAAGACATCAATGTCTTATTTATCATTGGACCCCATATGTTATAATATCAACCTGGTAGGCAAGATGTGCCCACCAGTGCAATAGTGGCCTGACTGTTAAGAGCAACCAGCTGCTCTCTGATTAAATTTGAGGCCTGCTCCACAGGAAAGAATTCATACCTGGTACTGTAAACCTAGTCAAAAGTCCATGACTGGAGAGGTTATAAGCTGAAACTTACTATTACTTTTTTGCTAAATAGTCATGTTGTCAGAGTTTCTCATAAATATTTCTGTCAATACCCATAGGCCTTGATCAGAGAAGCTTCCTTTTGTAGTGGGCAGCAGTGAATGCAGAGACTGATAATTGGTCAAAAGTACTGAGAATAAGTGACTGTGGGTGCTCAGCCCTAAATGGACCATCTTTACCAATAACTTCTTCCTCTCAAGGCTCAGGAACATCACAAAAGAGGGGCAGAAAGAATTTAAGAGCTGGTAGATAGGGAGAAGTGCTGTGAAATGCAATCTTTGGGACATGCCATGGCTACTGCATTCATGAACTCACAGCATCTGTGCTTACCTTCACAAGACTTGTATAAGATCATCCAGCATGGCTGGGGGTGGGGGACCTCATGAGATCCTATCCCTAAATTGAAGAGCTATGGGAAGTTAATAGCTGCTGGGGGAGGGAGAATCACTCTTCTTTGGGGGTGTGGCTGCTGGTAGTGTGCTCATGCTCTACACCCATGCACATATGCTCAGCACTAATTAGGTTTAGTGAGTTACTTAAAAAGAAAAAGGAAGAGGACATGAAGTTGGGAGGAGAAAGTGTGGGGAGGGAGGGGGGATCCAGGAGAAGATGCAGGGGAGTGGATATGATATTTCATTGTATACATGTATGAAATTCTTATAGAATAAATGAAAAATGGATGAATAAATTTGGATTTTTATTCTGAAAAAATTGATCATATTAGATCCAATTTATACTGATAAAACTGGTTACAAAATGTTTTGATCATGGAATACTTTTCTAAATTGGTATGTAGCCTTAAAACCAGAAACTGTACTGATACACCCTTCAGTTAATCCTGGTGTGCTTCCACAGCTGACGTATCACAAGTCCTAGTCGAGTGTGAACATGAGCCATGCACAGTGGTACACACCTGGAGTCTCTGGTACTCAGGACATTTAGGCAAGAGGACTGTTGGATCCCAGGAGTATGGGGGCAACCTGGGCAGCATAGTGAGATCCCATCACATAAAGCAAATAGAATCTAACAGATTTAGGTTCTGAGCCTTGTTTCCACATTCACCTGCTCAAGAACTTGTGAACAACTGATCTTTCTGTAGAAAGCCTGTCATTCTTGTTTTCTTAAAGTACCTGGTTAAAAGACACATGAGGGACAACAAGGTATCTCAGTGGGTAAAAGCACTTGCTGTGCAAGCCTGATGACCTGATTTCAATCCCTGGAGCCCACATAAAGGTGGAAGGAAAGAACTAACCAATTCCACAGAGTTGTCCTCTGACCTCCCCATGCACACTGTGGTATCTGTGTGCCTGCACACATTATACACATACATACAATAATTAATAAAAGATTACATGGCCTCTTAATTTCATAGCTATGAAGAAACAGCAACAGAAATCAGAACTATTACAAAATTCTAACATTGATCTTGGTTTACTACTTTATAACTTTACCACACACTTAAATTCAGCTTTACACTGATTTGTGCACAATGTTTACTAAGAGCATGTGCTTAAGACCACTTTCCTGAATTATTAACATCATAAAATTGATACTCCATCTTTTCCTGGTTTCTAATATTATCATTTTCAACACACTGCACATATGTTACATAAACATCAGCGAACCACAAACCATTCTGTGTCCTAGAGGTAAAACAGTGCACTCACATGTTGATCCTCAATGTTCTTCAACAGCCTGGGATCGTTAAAGTCACATGAATCACCACAGCAAGGAGTCATCCGACTGCAAGAGAGAACAAACGCCATTCTTCATTTCAAAAGTTCTGGTTCAGATAGCTCACATCTAGTGAGACTCTGCCCTCAAAAAGAACCACCAGGCTGGAGAGGCATCTCAGGGGCTAAGAACACTTGCTGTTCTTCCAGATGACTCAGGGATCAATTCCCAGCACCCACATAGCAGCTCTGTCACCCTCTTGTGGCCTTCGCAGGTATTACAGACATACCAGGCTACATACTGGCAATCAAAACACTTGTATAAATAAAAATAAATAAATCATTTAAAACAGAATCACACATAAACAGCCCCTAGTCATACATTCAACATTTAAGTATTTGTTATACTAAATATTGTGCCAAGCCTCAAGACAGTAAATCCCTAATTTTGCTATAAGTAAAATATTTTATAAATTCTTAAAAATAAACATAGCTACGAGGGGAAAAAACAGGAAGTAAAGATCAATACTATGACTCTGTTGTTTGAGTTGGTCCTTGATGAACTACCAGGGAAAACTCCAAGAGTGTCTGCTCAAAGTAAACAAGAGGAATTACTGTACTGTACATCATCATCTATGGCCAGAGTGCATATGTAGGAGAGAGGGTGGCCAACAGTTACCAGAAAGGAAACTGATGCCTGTGAGCTACCAGACTGGAGCAAACATATGGGGTCACACATACTGATCTCCCTAAACCCCTTCTTCAAACCCACAACAATGAAAGAAGCAAGGGCAACACAGCTGATATCATTCCTAATTCTGAATGAATACCAGAGTTTAATACAGCAGATAAAAAGCAACCAACAGCTTGCAAGGAGAGCATATTACATGTCAACTGATACCCCTGTGGAAAACTAGGATGGCTGAGGAATGGTACTATGAAATTCCAGTAAGGGGGTGCAGGATACCTATAAGGGATGTCAGGTACCTGTGAAGGATGTCAGATATATATGAGGAATGTGAGATATCTGTGCAGGATGTCAGGTACCTGTGAGGGGCATGACATACCTGGAAGGGGTGTGAGGTACCTATAAAAGACGGGAGGTTCGTGAGAAGGATGTGAGGTACTTGTTAGGAACATGAAGAATCTGTGAGGCATAGGGAAAACAGAGGACAGGACAGATTCCAAGTCTACCTGAGAAACATTCAGCCTACAAGAGCCCTCCCTCATCCCATGCAGACAGACAAGACAAACTGGCCCTGATCCTAGATTATCACTCTGTGCACTAAAAAGAATTAAGTTAACAAGCAAAGAAAGGACACAAAGGAACTTTAATACAGATTGCTAAATGAAATAAGTTAATGTAATCAGACTACATGCTATAAGATTCCAACTCTGAAATTCTGAAGAAAGCCAAGCTATGCAAACAGTCAAAAGCTCAATGACTGCCAAGGGTGGAGTGCTGATGGAGGGTGAATAGGCAGGATGCAGAGAGTTTGGAGCAGTGGAAATATTCCCAGTGGATGCATGTCATTATACATGCACAGGATGTACAGCACTGAGTGACTTCCATGTCAAGTGTGGACTCTGGGGGGTCACAAGGTGTCTATGTTGGTTCGAAGATTGTACCAAATGCAATGATGGGGGATTTTTCAGAGTAGAGGTCATGGATTGGGGCAGGAATCTTACAGGAAATATCTGTGTTTTTATAATTTTATTTTTAAAAAAGTCTTAAATGATTAAGATGATTGGTTTTACATTTTGTATGTTTTCCACAGTGAAAAATATTTTAAAATCTGAATGCACAGCCAATGATCACCAGGTTTTTGTTTTTTTTTTTTTCAAAAAAAACCAAACTATAAGCAAAACCATGCTGAGGCAGGGGTTGGATACAGAACAGAGGAAATGAACAAAGATTTGAAGAATGCTCCTAATTTAAAAAATTATTAAGGAAGACAAAAGGAGAAAATAAAGCAAAATAATAGTGAGAGATATCATATCATATCATCTGCAAATGGGATAATTTGATCTCTTCTTTTCCAATTATTACTCCTTTAATTTTTTTCTCTTGTCTTATTGCTCTTGAAAGTGTTTCAAGCACTGTGTTAAAGAGAAGTGGAGATAGTGGACAGCCTTGTCTGAGTCCTGATTTCAATGGGAATGCTTCCAGTTGTTCTCTATTTAGAATGATGTTGGCTGTGGGTTTGTTATATGTGGCTTTAATTATGTTGATATATGTTCCCTCCAGTCCAGTTCCCTCTAGGACTTTGAACATAAATGCATGTTGAATTTTGTCAAAGGCCTTCTCTGCATCTACTGAGATGACCATGTGGTTCTTTGAGCCCATTTATATGATTTATGACATTTACTGACTTATGCATATTGAACCATCCCTGCATATCCAGAATAAAGCCGACTTGATCATGGTGGATGATCTTTTTTATGTGTGTCTGTATGTGGTTTACTAGCATTTTGCTGAGAATTTTTGCTTCTATGTTCATTAAGGATATGGGACTACAGTTTTCTTTTTTTGGTTGTATCTTTACCTGGCTTTGGTGTTAGAGAGATGCTGGCTTCATGGAAGGAATTTGGAAGTTCTCCCTCCATTTCTATCTTTTTGAATAAATTAATTAGTATTGGATGTAGATCTTCTTTAAATATCTGGTAGAATTCTGCTGTAAATCCATCTGGTCCTGGGCTTTTTAATCAGGAGGTTTTGTATTACTGTTGTTAAGGGTCTGTTTAAGCCAAAAATTCCACCAGAAAATGCCTAGAAATTATTAACACATTCAGTAAAAATGGCAGGTTACAAAATTAGTCTACAAAAGTTGGTATCCTTTCTATATACCAATAACAAGTAATCAGAGAAAGAGTACATGGAAACACTCCCCTTCACAATAGCTGAAAATAAAGTAAAATATCTCAGACTAAACCTGACCAAAGACATTAAAGAGCTCTACAATGAAAAATTTAAATCTTTAAAGAAAGAGATTGAGGAAGACATCAGAAGATGGAAGGACCTCCCATGCTCATAGATTGGAAGAATTAATATTGTGAAAATGACCATCCTACCAAAAGCCATTTATAGATTCAATGCCAATCAAAATCCCCATGACATTTTCACAGAACTGGAAAAAATTCCTAAGATTCATATGGAAACACAAAAGATCTCAGATAGCTAAAGCAACCCTGAGCACTAAGAGCAATGCTGGGGGATTATTATTTCAGATTTTAAACTGTATTACAGAGCTATAGTCATAAAACAACATGGTACTGGCACAAAAATAGACCCATAGATAAATGGAACAAAACTGAAGGCTCAAATATGAGTACATGCAATTTCAGCCACCTGACATTTGACAAAGGGGCCAAGAACATTCACTGGAGGAAAGACAGCATCTTCAGCAAATAGTGCTGGCAAAACTGGATCTCCACCTGTACAAGAATGAAACTAAACCCCTATCTTTCACCTTGCACAAAAGTCAATTC